GATCTCAAAATAGAACGCGTATATTTGTGCTATCGCAAAAGGTGCTGAAAGAATGGTCTGTTCCTTGCATCGCTCCATGAAATACCTAACTGCTCTACTCTATCTTTACAAATGACAGATTGGACAAAGAATGGAGTTATTGCTGCCATATCTGGGCCGGTGTTACCCAAAACCTCACTTTCCAGCCTTGACTGTGTTCAAAAATGCTTATATGGCTTCGTGGGTTAGGAATTATTCATCATCCTGCAAACCTTATACCACGGACGATACTTTACTAGCACTTCACTACAACTATCACTATAACTAGTTCGGACAAGTTACATTCCTTAGTTCCACCAGTTCAGACCTTCACAGCTAGAGCTCGCCATGTCACATTCAGGGTGTTAAATCATCTTCATCCCCTTCATGTTCCTCTGATAAGGAGCAAGTTCATCTCAGACAGCTTCTTTCTCAGAATTTTGCTTCCCTGGCAACGATAATCTTGCTCTCTTTAAGTTCAGGATCAACCAATATCTATCGTACACGTCTTTCTCGATTCTTTCTTCCTTATCCTCTAACCAATCTTCTTAAATAACCATCCACCTTGAGTGGCCTTTGGGCCGTGTATCGAGTGAGCTCAAGTAAAAGCTATGATTTAAAATGATTTTCAAGGTAGCTATTCTCTATCGGCTTGGAAATTTGCGTAACGCCATCTTTTCTACATATGACATTTACTAAAATCGGTTTAGCAAATACCAGTAAAATACTGTGCCTTGCTGCAAAGTAGAGTGTATGGTTACAAGAACGATTCTGATTGGTTGTTTTTCATGGACGAAGCCAACATAGCCACAAGATCAGATGAGTGACCTCACGGGATTTATTTCACTATTATGAGCATGTAGTTTTAATTTTGGTCAGAAAAAATTACTGATGTAAATGCGGAAAAGTCCTCAAAATATGAGCCAATCGGTGACGGTAAAACGGAAACGGTAAAGATAAAACAGAAACAACATTCAGGTATAACAGGTATTTTGTTTTTCAATTCAAAAGAATCAGTTTATTCACTTTAACAACGTACAGTAATTGTTGGCTCACGTTCCAACGATTCATTACAAAAGAATTTCCTTTAATTCTTAGAGAAGAAATTTCAAAAAACTGTCCTCCTCTCGCCAGAAATATTCAGTTTCTTAGCGAAGAATCCTTTCCTGGTATCTGGAAGAAAGTCACGAACTGAATCCCAATCAGCATGCTGGTAACGGAAACAGGTCTTATGGGCTGGCAGTTTCTTTCTAATTGATGACTGGAACGAAATTCAATAAGATACTACAGAGTGATCCGAGTTGCCAAAAGGAAAGTTTTGCGAAGCTCGACAAGAGCTACGAGATAAGATAGAAAATAAATGAAGTAAAGAAACATGTTGCTCAGATTTATTAGGAAAACGCGTTGGAAAATCCACAATTCGAGTAAGGAATTGAGCATTGGAAAAATTAAAAGTTTGAATACCCGTATCATCAGTAACATAGTGATGTGCATTAAAATCACCGAACACTAAGATGTTCGCAGATGGATGAAGAGAGAGTGCAGTTTCTATACTATATAGAGAACAAATATATAGATAGATAGAGCATAAATAATCAATGTTAAATGTTCAATATCAATTTAATTGAATTATGTGATATTATATTACCATGAACATGGTTTGTCTCATTCTGCCAAATGTTTAGGAATACGAATATAGCGAAAGGCGCTAAGGTTTAAATACACTAACATAAGCTTTCAAGCATAATCTCAGTGTAAGTCCTTATTACTATAGAACCAAGCAGACTGTTAAATTTAATACTTGATGAACAAAATAATTATTGTTCTTACTCCAACTAAAGAAATATCGTATTTAAGGAAACAATATCAGAATATTAAATTCAAAAATAAAAGTTATCAATTCAGCAGATATAGTATTTTAAGAAGCAATGAATACAAAAGTAAAAGAAAAATGAATATTAAATATACAACTAAACATTAAGCAAAATTCTTTTTTATATGCGGATTATTTTAAATGGCAAGAGAATAAAACCTATCAAGAAAATTTGAATTCCTTAATAAGAACACATAATATTCACAATTAAAGGCACAATACTAATATGATTTGTCTTTTTTTCGGATTATTATATTCTTAAATGAAAGCGAAAGCATAAAAGGTTTTTACATAGAAAGAATTTGAAGAGATTGATTCTGATTGTGATCAATAGGTGACTTCCTCGATCCGAAGGAAGATGTCAGGAATTGGACTTCTCTATTTTATCCGCATGCCCATTCGAATATGGCACAAATTGAGAGTTCCACACGTACATGAGATTAGTAATAAAAACTGTTCTGCCTTTTATTTGCGGGCTTCCTCAACCATCGGGAATCGACTCTGACTTTCTTTTAGTGCAATATGGGAGGTATCACCTGGGGATGTGACACTCCCCATCCTAATAGAACAAATACTTTATTGAATTTAAGGAATAAAATCTATCGGATAAACTATCGAGGGAAATTTGGTGCATGCGCATTATTGTTTAAAGACAGCTTAGTGATGACGTCATATCTCCAATAGCAACATCCGTTAAAAGTATGGTAAGTTTATTTATCATTATGGGACTGAGTGCCGTGTTGAATGCGGCACGGAATTGAATTCAGAGTTGTCCTTCTACACTAGTTGCCAACCACATCTAGAGAGTCCAGTCTGCCCTTCTATTTAACCTATAGATGGAGAGAAGAAATGGATTTCTTTTCCCAGGGGTATTTGTGCGAAAGTGAATGTGGCGGACTCGACCGGAATTCGAACTCGGATCGCAGATTTCTCGTTCCGAGCCTCGAGTGCCTTTCTATCACCTGAACATCCTAATTAATCTTACATAATATCTTGACAGATTATTATTAATTATTAAATACAAAGAAATATATCAACCTTTCACCTGAGTGCTCCACACACGTAGAATTGACAGACTGCGCACTAAGTTTTCGTAAACGCTCTGTTTCTCTCACTCGAACAGTGTCTTCGTAAAATAGTTGTTTCCATCCGGATATTTTAATTTAGACGGTAAGGAGAAAAGAAAAGTTAGAAAGCAGTTCAGATATTTACTCATTTATATAGTTATATAACAGTTATAAAATGTATCAAGCTTTTTGCTTGATATACTTAGGTTGAATTAAATCTTAATAAATTATTCTCAATCAACAAAATACAAATTAGAAAAACTCAGTCGCTATTTGTAGTCTAACGAACGCTGCAAGCCTCCCAAAAATAACTATGTCACTGAAAGACCAAAGCATTTCCTCGATACTTAGATCTTGCTTTTAATATTGGCAAAACGGTAATAAATAGTTGTGAAATTATAATATATAAGGGCTTTTATCAGAATCGTGTACAAAAAAAATTCCATAAAGTTAAAACTTTATTCATTTTAATCAAATAAAGTTACCGAATAGAAGCCAAGATTTCCAATGCTGATTTTCAAAGCAAGCAGATACTCTTCCACCTGATTTCTGGGGACGAAAGTGGCTAGACACCAAGCAAGATTAAAAACAAGACCTGTCAAAGGGCGGATGAACATTCTTGTAGACTGCCCCCACTAGCTATATACACAGCCAGTGCAGTGATGACACGTAATCGCTAGGTGGAGAGCTTCCTAGACTGAAATCAATGGTCAGAGCGGAGAGTTCTATCGAGGGAATCAACGGCCACGTTTTCGTAACCAAGGCGAAGTTTAGCAGAAGAGGGATGGGCTCCGCCAGGTCTACGTGACCAAGACACTACGTATGAATGAATATCTCTCCGGCTTTCAACCCAAATATGGATGGAACATGTGCTCAGCTGTGCATGGGGCTGATGATGATGATGATGATGATGATGATGATGATGATGAACTTGGTCATTACTGTTATAAACACGTTTATGGTAGCACGAAAGAACAAATGAAAGATAATTCAAGAGTTTTGCTAAAGGAAAGGAAGACAAGACAAATTGTTAATATAAGATTATTTGTATTGCCGATACAGGAGATATGAGTGGGATGTTTCTTTTTAGACAAACGAAGCAACTTGGCGGAAGGGCGGCTCAGTTAGTAGGGCCTGGATTTTAAGCCTTTATCGGGTTGGATCGGTTGACCGAGATCATGAGTGATGACGCTGAGAGCTTGCCGGGTGGAGCTTGCCGGGTGGAGCTTGCCGGGTGGAGCTTGCCGGGTATAGACAGCTGACCCGTTCACCGCGATTCTGTCTCAAAGCAAAATGTGATGACTCCTAACCTCGTCTATTTTATATGATTTTTCTTTGACGGCAACGTTCCTGATTAGCTTCTTTTATGTTGTATTTTATATTTTTTGATGGGATTTTTTTTTTCGGCTGAATGTGACTCTCGAAGCTCTTGCGCAGAGAACGACTTTTTTATTTTTGGTTTTGCTTTCTTATCGTTCACATCCGGCCACCATGTAAAGTGAATAAGAAAGAGATCTAATTTGAAGACGAGTATAACATTACTAAGATTGGTGACTACTTAAGTACACCAGACACTGTAAGCAGCCTTGTGCCAGCCGAAAGAAAGCCTGGTAAATCAAACAATGTAATGAACGATGAACTGGATGTGAATCAGTTATGGCAGAGACTCTTCAAAGTCTGGAATTGAGTTGTGATCGTTCGTTCTGAAATCGAGTAAAAGAGAAAATTTCACCTCAGATGGGGTAACAAAATAAAAACAATAAAATTGGAAGTAGATGTCCAAAAATGTGGAAAAGAATCAAGTTTTGTGCTGATAACAGAAAACAACGCAGACATTGAAAATAACTTTTGCTCAGGGATTTTATGCCCATCCTGTAAGTAAAAAAAAAAAACTTAAAATATCTTCTTTATTTGAACAAAAAGATCGAAAAGAATGGCGTGTACGACAATCCCTTTTATTTTATTTTGTTATTTTTTCTTTTTCTTTTAATTTTTCTTTCTTTTTATCAAAGTTGCCTGTCTTGTTCGATACTGAGAGACAATCATAGCGATTTGAGCCTAAATAGGAGGGGGACACCAGCCGACCGACGGATACGTGACGTTTTCAAAGTCTTCTCGACTCCAACATGGCTGCGAATTGGTTGGCAACGTTCCAAAAATCTAAGAGAAAGTTTTCCATAGAAATGATATCACGCTCTTACAAATAATGTGTATGAGTGAGATTGTTGGAAGTCAAAGTCAGGTTTTAATTGTCAAACACTGTGAGTAGGTTAGCGCGTATCTCGATGGACGTGTTTATATACATACGTGCGTACATACTGCAGAACTGGGCTGGGTAAAATTTCCAAAATTGTGGAAGTATGTGGGCGCAAATCTGATGTACCTATATATATATATATATATATATATATATATATAGGCAAGCACACACACAGCGTGTGATGAGATAAATTGTCGTCTCCGCATTCTCTTGAATTCTTCTGTACGGTCTCCTTGCTTAAGTTGGTGAAAGCTATCATAATACTTGCTTTCAGTTCATTTTGTTGGTCTTTCGCTCAACTGCGCCCCACACATAATAATCAAGGGGGTTACGGTCTAAGGAGTTAGGTGGCCAGATGTAAGGGGTGATATGGTTGCAGACATTGTCTGACAGCCATGACTGGCTTCTCCTGCTTGTTTGGCATGGGGCAGAGTCCTGTTGCCAGACATGGGTTCTTCCAGCAGCCACCTTCTTGACCAAGGGCAGCACTACCTTCTCATGGCACACGAGTCTTAGGTTCTGTGGGAAGATGAATGGAAGCATAACGTCGCCATCACCAGTGATCACACCAAACACCTTCGTAATCACCATTTGACTCATCCAACTCTTTCTAAATCTTGTGCATTGTCCTAAATACTCTGAAATGTTCGTATTGGAGCTTCTGGTGCGAATGCCAAGCAGTATAGCGCGCCGTTTCCAAATTTCTGATGGACTGAATTATTTTTCTCACAGATGGTGCCCAACTGACATTACTATATTGTGCAGTCGACAAAATCAAAAACAAACCACGCACATGCTGGAAATTTAAAATATAAAATAGCGACAATTTTCCCATCGTACCCTGTTTATAATATAATGTATGTGTGTATACGACGGAGAGTTTTAAATTTCTTCATCCAAGCAAGTTGATACATATTTCTTTTATTCCTAATACTTTCGACATAGCACAATGTCATCATCTGTGTATTGTTTATTGCAAGATAAATATTGTAGTGTTCATCCGAAAGTTACATTTTTAGATATGGAGTGAGGAATACTAAATCAGTGCGTGACCACACCCATATATATATATATATATATATATATATATATATATATATATATATATATATATATATATATATATATATATAATAAAAAAATATAATTTTACGGGGTGCTATATCATGGCTAAAAGTAGTCGATATCAGTAATAGAGCGTGTGTAAATACAAAAGTGAACAACACTAGAGTCAATACCGCGAGTGGTGACAGTGTCTGTTTCATGCATCAGCTCAATTTTCAGGTGTGGCACTAAAACATGAAACATTCTGTCGTCACTTGGTGTTGACCTCAGTATCCACTTATATATATATGTAAATATATATTACCTTATTATATATATTACATGTATATATAGTTGTCTCTTCTTGTTCCCTATGGAACAATGGGTTCCTTTTGAGGCGGAATCCGAATGAAAGCTGAGCAGAAGTCGTATTCATTCGGACGTGCAAATAGTATGATTTCAATGAGGATTTGGATTCACAAGCGGTCCCCAAACGCAGTGCAATCCAGTTTAAATTCAGAGTTTCTCCTAGACTGGTTGTCAACTAGTCTATACTGATATTTTATCCATAGAATATATGGATTCGTACCTTTCCCAAGTGTATTAGAACGATTCTTCAATCTGAGCCGCTAACCATTACTTACCCTTGCCTTTATATATATATATATATATATATATATATATATATATATATATATATATATATATATATATATATATATATTATAATTATAATTATGGATATCACAGGAGATGTTTATTGTCAGTTAATTAAAAATGATTCTCTTGTTATAATCAAAGTTCAGAATATAAACCAAAGTTTATGTATATATATATATATATATATATATATATAAGCAAGTGTAAATGGATATAAATCCGACAGAATGAAGAAAATTTTGAAAAAACAAACAAAAATCTTAAATGTAGTTAAAATGAAAGAAATGTCGACGTCTGACGTTTCGGTTTAATAAACCTTTTCAAGACAATATTCATCAAAATACAATTCAGTTCAATATGACAAATACGATGGACATAAAACACAAGTCTTATTCAGAACAGATAACTGAAAATTTTTAAAATGATCAGCCTTCCGTCTAACATGGTCACGCCGTCGTCACATGGGCGACGCTTTCATAACGTATTCCTAAAAGTTTGTGATTATTTTGAAATGAAAAAGAAAATGAAAAGAATTCTATTAGGTTCTAAAATTTTATGTGTATGCTTGTCGAGCATCAATCTCGCTAAAAAGGGGAAATATTAAAGAAACCAGGTCTAGTATTCACCGTGCGTGAGATGGATATTATACCTGCTTCATAAATCCTCCTGAGATTTTTATTATGAAAATATTTTAATACTTTCACGGAATCGAAATCGAAATTATGATCTGCTTTTAGTTGTGTGTACAACTAAAGCATTGTTAAAATTACCGAGACGAATATCTCGTTTATGTTCGAAAACACGAGATTTTAAGGACCTACCTGTTTCACCCACATATTTTAGGTCACAATTTTTGCATGATATTTGATAGATGCAAGCATCGGATGTAATATGTTGTCTGCTGGTGCTATTTAATAAACTACGGATAGTCCTAGTAGGTAATATAGTAGTTCTAATTTTTAATGCATTTAGATTATGAGAGATACGTTCGGTCAAATGGTTATTTGGTAAAAAGATGCGACCAAACGAAATATTATCAGAGGCAGCTGAAATTGTATCTTTCATTGATCTAGTTGTAGTGGCCTTTGAGGTGTCATTTTGCGCTGATGAGTGAATTTTCAACGCTTTATTTTTTAGCTCTCTGTAATAATTGTCTCGGATACGAAAGATTTGAAAAGGTATCCTCAATATATGTAAATTCATCATTTAAATATTTTGATGAACAGATGCGAAGAGCCCTCAAATAGAATCCAATAACAATACCCATCTTAGTGTTCGTATCATGGTGAGAGTAAAATGTAAATAGTCATTTTTACATGTAGGTTTACGATATACTTTGAATTCTAATTTATTTTTATTTTTAATGAGTAATATGTCTAAAAAGGTAAGGAATTATTAGATTCAAGTTCATAGGTAAATTCTGTAGTAGGTTCTATTCTATTTAATCTATCAGTAATCTCGTTTAAATCATGCTTATGTGGGTAGATAAATAAAATGTCATCGATGTATCGAAAGTAATGTGTATCAGGTGGAATGACATCTTTAAAAGGTCCAGATTCAAGAAATTCTAGAAATATGCATGCTAGGAATCCAGAGAGAGGACTCCCCATCGGTAAACCAAATTTTGTTTATAATAAATATTATTATATTGGAAGAAACAATGAAGTGCAAAGGATGCATAATTTGATGCATTTCGAGATAGAGATAGGTAGCTTAAAGTCAATTTTCTTAAGGTGGTTCTCTCAATTGTTTAATGCATTTATCAACAGGTATATTAGTATATAAAGATTTGATGTCTAAGCTAGCTAGTAATTTGTTATCTATATCAATATTTCTCAACTTATTTAAAAGAGAGCCTGAATTTTATATGTGCGTTACTTACGGTGCCCAGAATTGGAGTTAGAAATTTAGTTAAATACCTAAGGATATTATGAGGAGCTGAGCCTATACCCGAGATGATGGGCCTTAATGGAATGTTAAGCTTATGGGTTTTGGGGAGGCCATAAATTTTAGGGACGGTCGGGTGGTAGTTAATAAGGGAAAGCCAAATCTTATCTTCATTACATATGAGTTTTTATAGGACCTATTAAATTCTTTTAGATTCTTAGAAATTTGTATAGAGGTGATCTGTACATAAGTGTCTCTGTCATTTAGCAAGTCCAACATTTTCTGGTTGTAAGCAATGGTATCCATGACAACAACACCGCCTCCTTTATCAGAAGGAGATATAATAATGTTATTATTCATAGACAAGGATTTTAAGAGGTATATGAATGCCTTAAAATCCTTCAAAAATTCAAAGTATATCGTAAACCTACATGTAAAAATGACTATTTACATTTTTACTCTCACCATGATACGAACACTAAGATGGGTATTGTTATTGGATTCTATTTGAGGGCTCTTCGCATCTGTTCATCAAAATATTTAAATGATGAATTTACATATATTGAGGATACCTTTTCAAATCTTTCGTATCCGAGACAATTATTACAGAGAGCTAAAAATAAAGCGTTGAAAATTCACTCATCAGCGCAAAATGACACCTCAAAGGCCACTACAACTAGATCAATGAAAGATACAATTTCAGCTGCCTCTGATAATATTTCGTTTGGTCGCATCTTTTTACCAAATAACCATTTGACCGAACGTATCTCTCATAATCTAAATGCATTAAAAATTAGAACTACTATATTACCTACTAGGACTATCCGTAGTTTATTAAATAGCACCAGCAGACAACATATTACATCCGATGCTTGCATCTATCAAATATCATGCAAAAATTGTGACCTAAAATATGTGGGTGAAACAGGTAGGTCCTTAAAATCTCGTGTTTTCGAACATAAACGAGATATTCGTCTCGGTATTTAATAATGCTTTAGTTGTACACACAACTAAAGCAGATCATAATTTCAGATTTCGATTCCGTGAAAGTATTAAAATATTTTCATAATAAAATCTCAGGAGGATTTATGAAGCAGGTATAATATCCATCTCACGCACGGTGAATACTAGACCTGGTTTCTTTAATATTTCCCCTTTTTAGCGAGATTGATGCTCGACAAGCATACACATAAGAATTTTAGAACCTAATAGAATTCTTTTCATTTTCTTTTTTCATTTCAAAATAATCACAAACTTTTAGGAATACGTTATGAAAGCGCCGCCCATGTGACGACGGCGTGACCATGTTAGACGGAAGGCTGATCATTTTAAAAATTTTCAGTTATCTGTTCTGAATAAGACTTGTGTTTTATGTCCATCGTATTTGTCATATTGAACTGAATTGTATTTTGATGAATATTGTCTTGAAAAGGTTTATTAAACCGAAACGTCAGACGTCGACATTTCTGTCATTTTAACTACATTTAAGATTTTTGTTTGTTTTTTCAAAATTTTCTTCATATATATATATATATATATATATATATATATAGTTGGGTTGATGTGAGTTTGTGACCCTAGATTTCATGCTATTGGCGATCGGCAGACAAATTGTTAAGTCTATCACTGATATTGAGCGCTTTCCAATAAGTACCACGCATATAAAATATATAAATGATATATATAAAACTGCATATATATATATATATATATATATATATATATATATATATATATATATTTATATACATACACATTTTACACACACACATACACACACACACACACACACATATATATATATATATATATATATATAAAAGAAATGGACGAGGTCCGACAATTTATTTATTAAAGACATTTTTATTTATGTTTAACGTTATATATATATTTTCGTTATATATATATATATCATTTCTTCATATATATATATATATGAAGAAATGACTGTAAATTATTTCAACTTTTATATCCTTTGCTTAATGTTTTCGCTCGTTCGTAATGGCATAAGTTCCCTTGGAAACTCTAGAAGACAATATTCATTAGTTTAAAAAATATACAAATAGTATGGCCTTTACTATTCTCACATTATCTTAGCATGTCGCAGACTTGAAGAATCGTTCTAATACACTTGGGAAAAGTACGAATCCATATATTCTATGGATAAAATATCAGTATAGACTAGTTGACAACCAGTCAGCATGAGTTGGAAAGAGTATGGGCGTTATATATATATATATATATATATATATATATATATAGTAGTGACTGTCGAATCACAAAGCGAATATGAACATCACTGATATGTCCAGTTCATCAGTTAAACTCTACCCCCATTCCCACAACACTGTATTCATTGGTTGTGTGGACGACAGTGGCTCATAAAGGCAGCCATCGATCTGCATTTCTTGTTATGTATATAGCATTATCAAATCATCTCCGGGTGGTGGAAGTTGACTTTGAACATCATCACTTCCAATGTGTCTTTTTATATGCCTTGTCAAACCCGTCCTGGAGTTGCACACTCTAGTGCAGGTCTGACATTCAAAGCATGCCAATATGAAATCGTCATACGCAATAGACTGTTGGTGTTGGTGTGATTTCTGGTGACTGAGCAGACCTGCCCTGGACAGACATATCCGCTTGCATTGGGCACCTGACCAAGTTGGCAGCTTACGGTTATTGAGGAATCCCTTCCGAACCCCTCTCTTCATATTTTTGTGATGCTTCATGAAAGAACTTGACGCCATCAGAAATACCAGCAATCCAAGAAACCCGGTCTTCATCTAGAGTTTCCCGGTTATCCACACCAAACATTAAACTTGTATTGTGATTCTTTAAAGCAATCTTTGGAACGAAGTTTTGGCTTGTGCTACGGTCTTTTCCCCATTTCCAGTTCTCCATACATTAATTGTTTTGGCCTGCCATACGAATACCATGGCCTGTCCATCGCAATCTGTATTTGCGTATATATATATATATATATATATATATATATATATATATATATATATATATATATATATATATACACGCTAGCGGACATATCGCGTTAAAACACCGGTTCTAATACGATCATCGAAGTTAGGCAATATCGAGCCAGGTTAGCACCTATATGGGTGACCACTTGGGAATATCAAGTGCTGTAAACTTGAATGTGTGGGTGGTATAACTTCTTGAAAAGAGAACGGAGATCAGTGTTCGAATTCCAATTGATTTCGTTACATGCACTTATGCGCAAATAACCTTGGGAAAGTTATGAATCTATCTCTTCTCCCCTAGCTATGGGTAAATATGAAGAAATACTGGGCCCTATATCCTTGAATGACTATCAATCTAGGGGAAGTAAAAATTCAGACTAGCCTGGAAAATTGGGTTGGGAAAGGTTGGATGACCTTCTTATAGGAGAAAATGGCCAACATGCAGCTACGCGATGGAAAACTCCTATTCTAAAAAGCCTGAGATTGTACCGGTACATTACACGGTGTTATGATTGTAGGTATCAGACAATTGTGCACTGTAAACAATTCACTTGAGAAAGTTGTTCAGTTAAAGAAAATTTAAATTTACTGAACACCCACCCGTCGTTCTCGACGGAGAATCAATCAATCTATCCATAGAAAGGTAGATATATAGACAGATACTGATCTAGTTTCCTCTTTGATAATGGACCTGTTTTCTCTTTGATAGTGCCTCGTATTTGACAAGAACTAATAAAAATACCATCAATTAGAGAAAGTTGAAATACTATGGTTACATCATGAGAGGCAATAATCTTTCTACTGACATCCTACAATGTACCACTTTAGGCAAAAAAAGAGACAGACAAAGTTAGAAATAATCTGGCCCTATCACTGAGTGAAGTGACAGATCCTCCGAATGGAATCACGCATATGGAGGTAGCTGGTCAGAAGAGAAAGATGAAATGGTTTGGGTGCCTTCATTAGAGATAAGAATCTTTCCACTACCTTCATACAAAGTACCACTTTAGGAAAAAAAGAGACAGACAAAGGAAGAAATAATCTGGCCATATCACTGAGTGAAGTGACAGATCCTCCGTATGGAATCACGCATATGGAGGTAGCTGGTCAGAAGAGAAAGATGAAATGGTTTTGGGTGCGTCTTAAGAGATAAGAATCTTTCCACTGCCATCCTACAAAGTACCAATTTAGGCAAAAAAAGAGACAGACAAAAGAAGAAATGATCTGGCCATATCACTGAGTGAAGTGACAGATCCTCCGTATGGAGTCACGCATATGGATGTAGCTGGTCAGAAGAGAAAGATGAAATGCTTTTGGGCCCGTCATAAGAGATAAGAATCTTACAAGGTGTCACCTTAGTCAAAAGAAGAGACAGACAAAAGAAAAAATGAACTGAGAACATCACTGAGTGGACTGGAAGATCATGCACAAACTCATTTAATGGCACGCAACCAAGACACATTGAGGGCGCTGGTCGGATACTCAGCTGCACATTAACCCTACGACCACACCCAGTTATGATGATGATGATGATGATGATGATGTTGGAAACATTTGGTCCGTATAAGCGAGTCGTTTCTTTTTTTCGCATGAAAATATTAAATATATTTGATTCTGCAGTTGCATAATCAGTCCTACTAAGCTGCTTTTTCTTGTAAACAGGTTGTCCAATTTAAACGTTATACATGGTATATTGGAAAAATATTACTATTAATAATCAAAAGGAATATTACTTCCTCCTCATTTGTCCATAGAATAATCTTATTCAGTAACCCTATTCCTTGAGTGGCTCTTGGGCATTGTATTGGATGATAAAAATGCTTTATATCTGTATAAAAATTTTGAAATTAATTTTCAGTCCGTACTTTAAGAAGAGGTTGAGATATTTTTTACACACTTCTGTAGTAATGCGCAAGCGTTTAATGGCGTTCTCAATTTCGACTTGATACAGGGGAGGTCACGCGTGACTTTTTTTTTAAGCATTATCCTTGTTTCCGTTGAAAATTTGAATATAAATACTTTACATTCGGCTTTCAAACATTTTCTTTGATAATAACTCATGATAATAATATGATAATAATAGCATATGATGATATGATAATAATGCGTTAATAATAAATATTATAATAATATCATAATAATATTATAACATAACTCATGAAGTAATCAGGCATCGAACAATTTATATTGAAATTATCACCGGAAACAAAGCAAATGACTCGAAATATAGGAAAAAATAACCAAGCAAAAGTTTATAAAAAAAACTTTCTTTAAACCTTATATATAACGTAAAATGTATATCTAAAAGTTTGCATTTGTGTATTTTTACAATGGAGACAATTTCAGTTGTCAAAATATAATCAGAATTATTAGCTAAAATTTATCAGTTTTACCGTAGAAAACGTGATTCCTAATTAAAATAATTGGATTCAGCAACTTGGCCTGAGCAAAGGCCATGATGCTGGAATTCAACAACACCCTACAATTAAATGAAGACATGACAAATTGCGAAATCACAAATCTGGATTTGGCCAGGATATGTATATATAAATGCAACTAGAAAAGCATTTGCACTAAAATTCTTATTTCGTGTCTTTCCTTGCTGTCGAATATTGTTAGTCGGTTTGGATAAGGAAACCTTGCCTCGCAGTTATCAACCCTTGATCAAGGTACTATAGTAGCCTTCTTCTTCTCACCATACATGACCCACGTGATCCAGGATTAGCTGACCGAAAAATTTTCACGATCATGACAACCCCAGCAATTATCCTCCGAGCTATCCTGATTTGTATCTCCTGGTCTTACTTTTGGAACGTTGTCGAAAGGGAAGAGACAAGCAGTATCACTATACCAATGACTCATTGACGGCCATCATTGTAGTGATATTCATCGTGAAAGTGAACCACATGGTCTGGGTTTATAGTTGCTTCCCGGGTCGAGGTCGTCATTGAAGCTGAGAGCCGTTTTATTGAATTATTCTTTTGTTTCTCTAAATTCATCATTACTAAAGTTTTTTTAATTATACTGTTTTCTCCATATATTTTCTTTATAATTTTCTCAGTTACTTCTCTCTCTCCCTCTCTCTCTCTCTCTCTCCCTCTTTGTATACATGCACACACACACACACACACACACACACACACACACACACACACACAGATAGATAGATAGATAGATAGATAGATAGATAGATAGATAGATAGATAGATAGGTAGATAGATAGATAGATAGATAGAGCATCAAAATGTTTCTATAATCTCTAGAATAAATTGTAATCCGGCGAAATTTGAAGAAGCTATTGATTTTTTCACATATGATATTTGCTATACTGCTACGATGGAATACCAAGGTTTTGTCAACTTTTCCTTCAAACGCTTTTAATACTGATAATGTCTGCTGTAATCGCAACATAAGCTGATAGCCGCTCAAAGTGAAACAATGCAATCCTAATAAACACCGAACAAAACTTGCTTTGGGTAAAGGTTTTTTTTGTTTTAGTTTTTTTTAGTTGTGATTTCCTCTGTTCCTCTCCACATAGCTTCTAGTCCCATCACTTTAAATTCTTGTAAAATATTCATTTTTCTTTACCAATCACTAATCTGTCCAAAAAAAGCGAGATTCGTTCACGGAAGAACAGAGAAATGCTAATGTCCACTCTTGCTTTATTGTCTAATCATGGGGAACCAATTTTACAAGTGTAGGCACATTTCCAAAATAGTCCGACTGTGAATGGCTTGAATTCAATTTTACCTATACAACCGTAATAGAACTATTGATATTGAGTTTATACAAATATTACTTATGTACAAAGACACTTTGAATTTGATTTTCAGTAATAGCATTTCTGGGATTTGAATAAATATATTTTGCACATTTTGTTTTTGGCAATTTAAAATCTATATAATTAAGAAACTATTTTGCATTTGATTTTCAGTCATATTCCAAGACATGAGTTATTCTATTCTTCATGTCATATAAAGGACAAGGCTGTATTAAATAAAAAATATTATTCGTTATATTTATACTTATAAAAAGAAATCCAAGAAGCTTAAATTTGGTGATCATGACCAAGAAGTGAGATCACATCTTCCAATTTATTTGTTCTGGAAATATTATTAATTTAAATCCATCCAAGACACTTCAAAGTCTCTTTATTAATTGTGATTGCATAGTTTTTAATAATTGTCTGCATAATTGATGAAAATCGGGACTGAATATAAGATGCACATCCAATAATCTTTACTCTTCATTTTTAATCTGGGTTAAAATGCAGCAGCTATGAGACCATAGGTGACTGAACCTTATGGAAATGGGGCAGTAGGTGAAAGTATGTACTAAAGAATAGTTAAAAAGCACGACTTTGAGCTCAAGTACAACATATTCTTTAAAATCCTTCTGAACTTAAATAATGATGAAGGATTTGGATTTCAAGGAAGATGACCTGGTTCAACATCTTTCTAACACTTGATCTCCTGAAATTCTTCTTAATGCTCTTTATCATATACGGAACTGAAATACTTCCTGCTTCAAATAGCAGTTGTACTTTTTTTTAGCCTTTTGATAGCGTAGGAGTTTATTTTCCACAATATGGAACACTTTTCCATTGTCATTGATTTTATCTAAACGAAATATTTCTAGGAAGATATATTAACTGCCTAGGTGATTACCCACCACCAGATTTAATGTAACCTTATTTCTTATAGCTTTTTTAAATCATTTGACCTCAAGACAATAAAGCTACTAAGATGCAAGGGGGTTACTGAGTGTGAGAGAATATGCATAAGAAAAAGAAAAAAACACTATTAAGGAGCGAGAAAAATAAAAAACGGTTTTAAGACGATAATGATTGACATTTTTAAATTTTTGAAGATGAAACTTGACTAGAAAGCAAGAATCCGGAAATGAGTTTCACAAGCGAGAAGTGCGAAAGAAGAAACTGTTAGCATAGAACTTACGGTTATGTTTAGCTCTTTCAAATGTAAAATGATGGGACTTTGCCACCAATCTAGTACTGCACTTAAATTCATAAAGTTTTGATATCATAAAGGAAAGTTCTTCATAAAACAATTACCATGAAAATATTTATAGAGAAGTCACAGAGAAGCTACGTTACAACGGTGGGAAAGTGACTGAAGCCGAGATGCCAAGTAAGGATCAACAACATTGCAGATTCTTCTTTGTATTTTATCAAGAATCTCTAAATACATAGTAGGAGCAGAAAAACAAATGTGACAGCAATATTCAATGCATGGAGTAATGGTAGGCTTATAAATGTGTAAGATAAATTCTGATGAGAAATATGTCTAGCACGACACAGTGAATCAAATTTCCTAGCCGCAGAGCTAGCAATTGATTCAATATAATCTTTCCACTTCATGTCAGCGGAAAACGTTAACTCGGGAAGTTGAAAAGATTTACTCTCCTGGAGATTAGCATCAGCCATAACGAGAAACGTGTTATCAAAAGACCCATTATATCTGTATAATTACGGATTGCAATTGAAGGTAATTATTTTCCACTTGGATTCCCGGATAGTGTAAGTGTTATCAGCGCGTAAACCAACGTGTCGAGTTCAAACTCTAACCAAGTTTTTTGTTCACTTCGGATTATAACCTTCAAAAAGGCATGAATCCATCTTCTTTTAGATATGGGTTAAATGGCAGGAATGGCTGGGCTCCCTAGCACTGAGAAAACTCTGAATTCGAACTCTGGTAAATAATATATCATACTGGGCTGTAGCCATGGAAGGAGGACAGAACCATCCTGAATTGGGTATGGGACCCAAAAGGCTATATTGTCCAAGATGCACATGCGAGTGACTAAAGCAAGATAGTTGCTCAAATAGATCGTTTTACTGAATTTAAAGATGACAAGTTTTGTTTTTTTTAATAAACTGAATAGAAACTTTTCTGCTACGGTTATATAGGTAAAAATTGAATTCAAGCCATTCACAGTCGGACTATTTTGGAAATGTGCCTACACTTGTAAAATTGGTTCCCCATGATTAGACAATAAAGCAAGAGTGGACATTAGCATTTCTCTGTTCTTCCGTGAACGAATCTCGTTTTTTTTTTTTTTTTGGACAGATTAGTGATTGGTAAAGAAAAATGAATATTTTACAAGAATTTAAAGTGAGGGGACCAGAAGCTTAGTGAAGACGAACAGAGGAAAGCACAACTAAAAATAAGCCTTTACCCAAAGCAAGTTTTACCTGGTGTTTATTAGCATTGCGTTGTTCAACTTTGAGCGGCTATCAGCCAATGTACATGAGCTGCCTCTGAGACTCTCTTTGGTTACGGATCACGAAATCGTGATCATGATTAACCAAAGGTAAAAAGATCCAAAATTGATAACTGTAACGATCTCAACAGTGTCTTGCTGGAGAAGGAGGATAGTTTGAATATTTCATAAAACGCCATTTATACAAAACTTTCTGCTTTTTAAATTCCATTACATAACCTCCTATTCTTTAATTATTGCTATTTCTTTCAATTAAGTTTGCTTTCCAGTCGTAATTATTCACATCGCCCCTCCGTTTGCAATGGAAGTCGAAATTAAGATAAAAGAATTGCAAGTTAAAAATAATTGTTTGACAATGCTTCGTCACACAATAATGAATTTCACAATATTTTTATTATATTTATCCTTTTTCATTATGAAAATGTTTAACTAACTTCTGAATAGTAAACCTAATTGGTCATAGCAAACTTTTTTGTAGATGTGCAGAGTAGCATGTTATTATCATGGGGAAAACTAACGTGACGAGCCGTGTTTTGACTACATCTATTTGCGGTCACTTCACTCAGCGCTTTCTCCTATAAGCAGACATCTTGACAATCGGCTATTCATCTGCATGCTATAATAAGAAAGTGATAGAGTGAGCATATAAAAAAAAATACCTCACCTACTCAGTCATTAACAACAAAAGTGGCTGCCTCCATTGTTAACTTTGACAGAAGCCAATCATTTTCATATTGACTTTAGGATTCAGTGTGTGTGCGCATGTGCATTTCTCACTGAAGCCACTAGTCGTTATTCGACCACAAGTAAAAACTAGTCTTCCGAGTAATAGTTTCAAGGCCATTTATGATAGGAAGACTGGAGCAACAGCATCTTCCTAGCCTCTGCTTGACCTTGTACTTGGTAAATATAGAAAATCGCTCATCGACAAATAGTTCTCTTATTTCTCTCTCTTTTCACTCATGAAAAAGTTCTCTATCAGTGTTAGGAAAATCTTAGAAGTGTCTATGAAGTTTACCGAGAAAACTTCTTAGTTCTACTCCTTCCTTTTTGCCATTAGTCTCGCTTGTGGATCATAGGGCTACAGACATATCACGCTAGGTGTTGCAGCTGTGGTTTTGGTAGCAAGTGATTTTTACAGGGTGGATTTACCAGCTCCACGACCAACCGGTTTTGGGTTGAGAGTTGTCCTTCTCTTAGACTGTTTGTCAGCTAAGATTTCAAAGTCCATTTTACCATGCTATTTAACCCATAGCTAAGACGAGAAGAGATTCTAACTTTTTCCCCATAAGTATTTGTGCGAAAGTGAACGCAATCAACTCTTCCGAAATTTAAACTCTACATTCTGTGGTTAAATGCCGTTGAATGAATTTGCCTGTAAAGTAGAGGTTAACGATGCGTTAATCTCTACTTTACACGCATAAACGTCAAAGATACTTCAAAGTTTCTTTATTGCTCGCGTGATGGCAGACTTTTAATAATTGTTTTGCAGGCAATGATAATTTTAATTTCTTTTGATGAAAATCGTGACTGAATATAAAATGCACATCCAATGCCGTTCCCTATTCATGTTTAATCTGAATAGAAATGCAACAGAAACTAAGCAACAAGCCACTGAAATTTATGGCAATGATTCAGTTTATATCTATCAATTTGTATATCTGTCTGTCATTGCAAAAGAGTTTAAAGATAATAGAAGCATTTTAAAGCGATTAAAGCCAACACTCAACATCACTTGCTTTGAAACGAGTCGGAACGTTTTAGGGGTGTTTCGAAGATATACTAGCATTGAATTACTACTACTCCTATACAACACAGGTTAGAAAACAAGCACGCAACACTACACTAACAACCAACCTAGAGAAAATGGCTAATGAATTAGTCGAAACTGCTAAGGACAATAATCCCTATGGACAGTTTCCACACCCACTTAATCCTCATAAAGAAAAATTGTTTGAATTTTAAAATTTTCCATCTCTCTTACATTCAATAAAACATATATAAAAGAAGAAATTTTGCACAAATATATATATATATATATATATATATATATATATATATATATATATATATATATGGACATTGAGATCAATACCCAGCTGCAACATTTTTTTTCACGCTTAAACGCAATCGTCAGGCCATATATATATATATATATATATATATATATATATATATATATATATATATATATATATATATATATATATATATATATATATATATATATATATATATATATATATATATATATATATATATATATATATATATATATATATATATATATATATATATATATATATATATATATATATATATATATATATATATATATATATATATATATATATAGGTGTATCAAAAAATAATTTGGGGCGGATTCCTCTCACCAAAACAGGGACAAAAGTTCATATAAACATATGTCCGCCGCGAATCCTTCATTGTTGAGTTTAATAACTCAAAAACGAAGGATTCGCGGATATATGTTTAAAGTTTTCGCTAAACAATTATTAAAAGTATGCATACGCACGAGCGGATATATGTTTAAAGTTTTCGTTAAACGCTGTTAAATGTATAATCCCTGATATAATCCAAAATACTTTTACAAACTTTAGAGTGGGTTCCTGACACCAAAACAAGATAAAATGTCTATAGAAACAGATACCCATAAGGCCTTCGTTTTACCCCCAGCATGGCAAGTCATAACAAACTTTCAAAAATATCATCCGCTTGTTTCTACACACGCATGCACCCCTCGGATCATTGATTGGTGGACCCTTTCAAATACTCCCATACGGTGTCGAATGGTTTCACAGGCCCCCATGACACGTTGATGAATCACTGCTGTATAAATCACTTTTTTAGGTGACCCCACAGATAAAAATGCCACGGATTGAGGTCGGAGGAACATGCAGGCCATGAAACCGGTTCTCCCCTAATTGTCCATCTTTCATTGTAGATGTCAGCCTGTGCATCGCGAACAAAGTGACTAAAATGTGATGGAAACCCATCATGCATGAATTACATGCATCTTCCTATTAGCAGGGGTACATCTTCGAGAAAGTCTGGAAATTCAAAATAAAGCCCCTGTAGATTAACTCCTGTAAGACGTGTTGACATAAAATACGGACCTACTAGACAATTCCAACCTACATATTAACCGTAAACTGATGCTGGTGTCTAGCCTGTACTCCAATCGGCCCGTAAATTTTGGTTGTGCAAATTTGTTATTCCATCTCTTCCGTAAACAAGACTGAAGACAAACAACTGATCAGCAGTTTGTATAATAAACCATCGGCAAAAGTTCTCCTGTGTTGAGTGATCAGAGAGCGAAAGATCAGAGAGAGAGCACACGTTTGCAAATGATACGTATACAGTAACTACTTTTGAACTACTCTCCATTTGGTACTATGAGATGTACGACATGCTAGGGCCACTTGACGTAGGTCGATACCTGGATTGTCTCAGACACCCTGTAAAATGTGTTCTTCGTGGTCAGATGTACGAAAGGATCTCAGTCTTCCTCAATTCATAGTTTGACGTTCCAAGGATCCTGTCTCAGCAATACGACCATAACAAGAGCAAAGTTTGGAAACACAATCAGATACAGCCGTAAAGATTCGCGCCCATGACCATTTATTATTATTCTGCCTGCTCTCGATATGAACATCCTGCCATTGTTAAACGGAACACTTCTCAGTTAACTCACTCCTACACACGTTAAACGTTGAGGACAGATAAGCCACAAATGTACACCAACTAATTTCTTTAAACTTAATAACTCAAAAACGAAAGATTTGCATACATATGCTTATGTGGATTTTAATCCTTGTTTTTGTGCGAAGAACACGTCCCAAAGTTTGTAAAAATATTTTTGATAATCCTGTATATATATATATATATATATATATATATAGCACTTTTTTCTGTGTTTTATAATTTATCTATATACATTGACCTTTGGCTCTTTATTTTTATATATATGAATAAACTTCTCCAAGTATATTTCTTTTTTCTGCACCGAGATATACAATTTGTTGGAATTTCTTTAGATAGATAGATAGATAGATAGATAGATAGATAGATAGATAGATAGATTATATTTAAGCAAAAAGAATTTTTAAATACCTTATGTTAAATCCGACCGCCAAGTTTTGTCTAAGTTTTTATTACCTTTTCACTAAATTACCACTCTAGAAAATCGGAAACTTTCATTAAAAATTAAGAAAAAGACATTGTCGATTGAATTTAATAAAAAAATTTTAGATAGATAGATAATAGAGTAGCATATATGAATGATTATTTACCACGAAAAAAAAAAAGGCAAAAAAGTACATATGTAGTTAAATGACGTTGAATGAATTATACTTCTGCAGATGTCTAATTAACCATAAAAAAAGAGTGGAAGATCTTACTCGCCTAGCGCGAGTGATTTGAACAAAGTAGGTTAAAGTTGATTTCCCTCCACATCAACATCACCAAGACTATAGACATTGGCCAGAAATCAACCAATCAAAAACCAGGATATTTAAAGGAGATGGAAGGAAAAGGAGGAATGGGATTTTCTCTTTCTGTTAATGTTGAATTTTAATATGACCTTTAAATAAAAACTTTAGTAGAGCGTCTCAGTTCACGTCTTGTTCATAAGATGAATCGATTCTCAATAATATTAATTGCTGACTATTTAGATAGTACTGTGAATTTTTTTAGTTTGTTTTTATTTTTTAATTTCTACAACACTCTTCAACCGAATTTTTTTTTTACCAGTTTACCAATTGCCCATGAAAACTTCAGTAACTAAAAAAAAAATTACCAACTCTTCCAATTTGAGTTAAATTGGAAGTGGTAATTTTTTACGCACATGACGTAAATAAGTGTCACAACTTGTGCATTCCCGTAACTAAATGCCAGGTTGAAAATAGCAGTATATAAACAAGTGCTTATTAAACTGACTTTTAGGTGTCTCTATCAATCAGGTAAAGGCCTACTTGAGTACAATCTGAAAATGCACTGGGTGTACAGTCCCCTCATAGACACGAAACGAAATTGGTGGTGCATCGAAAGTAAGGAGAATATGCAAGTGATCCCACTTGGCTTTGCCAAAACGCCTGTTAGGGAGCTCTCTTTAAGCCTATAAAAGAGCAATCATATTCTTTCTCTTCCCCTTTTTATCTCTTTTTAACTCTTGCTTCCAGACATAGTCGCACATAGACAAAGAACGCTGCTTTAGTCTTCTGTTGACTTTTAAACTCACTCACACACGCATATACACACACGTGTCTATCACACACGCTTGTTACACGCACACACAAACAAGCACATTCTTCTTATAACTAGTTTTAATGGGTTTTTTTCCTTTCATTACAATGACACTTATAAATCATTTTCTTAAAAACATATTTTGTCGTATGTTATACATTCAGTGTTTTATATTATTTTTACCCGGACTCACATTGAATCCACCAATATTGTTTGTGGGATAAATGTTCCAGGAAACCATAAATATTTAATACAAAATGTTTATACACATCACAATCAAAGAGGTGATACTGGCAACATATATGATCATTTATTTCTAGCCATACAGACGAGTATCCCGCAACAAATACGATTTTGATGATTCCTACGAAAAGAATGATAACGGAAATCATCAAATAATTGTGTGTCGGATGAAGGAAAAACAAAAATCCAGGTGATTTTTCAAAAATAGCATTTAATGATACCGCAACAATTTCGATTGATGCGTTCTTCTGTCATATTATTAGTTTTGCAGGAATAATGAAGCGAATTCTTTTTACTTTCGCTGTAGTTCAATTTCGTTTCGTGTTGTTAAGAAGGTTGCCATTTTGCTTCATGTCAATTCTTGTTGATTCTGTCACATTTTTGTTGGTCTATTTTCCACTCTCTTATATGAATATGATTTAAACTGGAAGTGTTTTTGATCTGGATGTGTAAATTTCTCCAGACCCCAATAATATGTGTTTTTCTTAAGGAAAGGTGCATTAAGCTGGGTTTTTTAACTTTCAATCTCTGAATTCGTTCGATTTCATGACGTCTCTAGTTCATTCAATTTTATTTTTCCTTTCTTTTTTTACTTTTTATTTATTGTAAATGTGGGACTCTTCGAAATTCTATAAAGCAAAAGAAATGAATCACCAAAGCTTCCGTTGATGGAATGATATTGTCGCTTTATTCAACATGCGCTCGAAAAATTAGTAAATTTTGGTTACGGTTAGCCGAGTTTTTTTGTTCGGCTGATTCTGGAATCTGAGTTTAGAAATATGTGACACCCAGATCTTGGAACATATGAGGTCTGATCTAAAAAAATCGGAACTGATGCTATAAAAAGAAAACTACAACACATATCAATTCGGCATTTAATCTCCTTTGAAGTAGCCCACTTCTGATGCCACGTACTTTATCCAGTGTCGTTTCCGCTGATGGAAGCATTCCTGACACTCCTTTGGGGGGCTAACGAGCAGCTGTCACATCGCATTCTCTTGGATTTGCTCGACGTCTTGAAATCTTGTTCCTTTCAATTGGGATTTGATTTTTGAGTGAAAAGTCGCAAAGGGGCGAGAGAATATGGGAAAATATTGTGGTCGTCGGATTTGTCCTTGGCCAAAAAATGCTGCATATGCCATAGTCACTAATGGAATCTCTGTGGTGCGGTGAAACAAGAAGCACACTCTTCACACTTTCTTTCCAAGCACTGCTATAAACAACGAAAGTGAACGATGACTTTATAACTTAGTTTGCAAGCTAAACAGAGTTCAAGGTCAATCTATACCGAATGACTTCACTCTTTAGCTTCGTTACCATACCGATACTTATTAATCAGATCTTGTATATAAGTAGGGGAAACTCTGGCGAAATGTCGTAATTAAGATCTCAAATACAAGAATACCACTTAGATTAACTAGTGGAATATGTGTAGATATTTGCATATGTTTACTTCCTAATATATTTCTATTTTTCTACAGAAAATTATCTCTGATTTTCTGTTTCTGTTACGATTACAATTTCATACATCTTTGAATCTTCAAAAAACCATGGAAGATGTTTTCGTCCCTGTTAGGGTAAATACTAATAACATAAACTTTTTGAACATTTGAGAGAAGTAAGAGAATGTAATCTTTTTACAATAGCTCTTTGCTTGTTCTTCTCCCAGTCTCATTTATTAATTCATGCCAAATTTGGCAGAAGCATACATCCACAGATTTACTCGACAGACGAAATTCAAAGCCATAGCTTCTAAGATTAGCTAGTCATTACTTTCTGGTAGATGCTACAAAATTTCTCAATCATAGACAAATTAAAACATCCTAGTGTAAATTTACGTTTACCGGTCTGTGCATTCGAGAGTCTTAATAAAGATGGAAGACGTAAATATGCACTGCTTAAAAAAATGTATAGCTACTCAAACACATGAATCCACAAAATATATAATATGAAATAATGTTGGACTATAAATAAAACCAATTAATTCCTTAGAAATTGTTTTGTTTAGATTTCGTATATGGAAGTAAATTTAGCAGATATAGGATCCGAATAAGATTTGCGTTTCTCAGATAGGGTAATTGAACTTAATCTTTCTGTGGTTGAGCAGTTTAAAGTACGTCGGGATTTACGGTCGTTTTTCTTACACGGTAGCGCATGTTTGAACACATTCGGAAGGCACATTTTCTTTGTAAAAATATTTCGGTAGACGTAAATATACACTGTTTTATAAACCAGGATACATACTCACTCACAAGTGTCCACTAAATATAACGTTTAGAGTAATAAGAAATTAAGAATAATGTAAGTTATGAATATACAAAGCGTAGCTTTAACTTACTACCGTACAAAGCTCAAGGCTGCTGAGAGAAAGGTATGAAGATTGTATAACGTCAATCTTCCAAGCAGAACAAAAACCTGGCTACCTGCCTTGAAAGAGCATTCGAAATAATTTCTTAATGGAATCGAACAGCAACTGCTGAGTGTAATAAAAAGTACGAAAACAGCTTCAAGTACCAATTAGGCCAATAGTTACGAGGTTGGGTTGAAAAATTCATAAGCTGACTATGACGGGATAATGCTAGTGCTGTGAAATCTTACATGCATTAATTTTAATAATTCTTAAGAAAAGTTCGAATTAAGTAAGTACGAGGGTGGGTTGAAATGTCCATAGACTGTCTATGAAGGAATGATGCTCGTGCTGCGTGTAACAGAATCGTTCGACTCTATACGTATTGCTTATCAGTAAGATTTAATAAACTCATTACTTACCCAGTCGCCCACTTAGATGACACAAGGTCGAGCAAATTGTCAAAATTTGCCCAGCCACCGCAAGCAAGGGTTCGGGCACATTTATTGTCCGAGTTTTTCTCCGCCCGTAGACAGAGCCCAGACTGAGTCGCCCACTACACGAAGACTGAGAGTCTTGACAATCGGGAGCCAGGCAGCGGACCGCCAGTCAGCGACGAGCTTTAATAAACACGGTATTTACCTAGTACCCCCACTGATATAAGACGTAACATAAGGTCGATTTTTCTGTAGGAAACCTGAGAGTTTCCACCCGGGCCATTGGCCAAAATTTACCCAGCCCTCGCATTCGTGGGATCGGGTACAATTCTTGTCTCTTTTTCTCGGCTGAAGCTCCGTCTAGCGACGGAGCACCGACTGAGTCACCTTCTGCCAAATGACAGAGGTCTTGACAATAGCGAACTACACCCACCACCAGAGCCAGACAGCGAACTGCCTGACTCCGACGAGGTATGATAAACTCGTTATTTACCCAGTCCTCCGACCACTCACTGAGATGCGACACAAAGTTTAGATTTCTGTAGGGAACACAGGCGTTTCCAAAGGAGCCAATGTCAAAATTTACCCAGATGACGTAATTACCGGATTCGCGTACAATTCTTGTCTTTTTTTCTCAGTCATGTCTATATCGCCAGACAGAGCCCCGACTGAGTCACCCTCTACCCAAAGACAGGGGTCTTGACAATAGCGAGCCAAAGCCAACGCCAGAGCCAGATAGCAAACTGCCTGACTGCCTTGATATCAGCAAAGTTCTCCTGAATTCAATGTTCCCTGTGTTCAGGACAGATCCATTAATGGAGGAAATAGATCATACCACCTTC